GCCCACCAAGATTGGGTTGTTCACCGGCGGCGTCCAACCACATGATTATCCCTAGGACTGCTATACAAAGTAGGTAACCAGTAGGGTGGCTATAGCAATTTTGCCAGAGGTGTGGCAGGAGTCTAATCGTGGGCCCCTTGATCTTGACCACGCCAGCTCCCTTGTCTGTGTCTGGTCTGTCACTGTTCATAGCCGAGGCCGAGTATATGACATATATTCGGAAGTTCTCCGGACGGGAGACCGGCCGAATCGGTCCGAAGGTGACCGAGGTTGCTGAGGCCGATCGCATGACATTTGCCGAGGCGATCTTTGATGGTCCTTCATCTTGGTTTTGCCAAGTGGGCCTTGGCGTAGTCGGGTTGGGCCATTTTCCTGTTGGGCTGGATACCCCCATTTCCGGGTATCCATCAATGGCGTTCCTTTACTCGACTGATTATTCGGCGGATTCGAAAAGCTTGGTGTCTCCGTTGAAGAAAAAAACTGAAGTGTCTAGATGACACTTGGACAACGATGGCAGTGGCTTCCTCAAGCTTTGTTGCTTTGTTCAATCTTTTGATGTCCAAGCTGGGCATGTTGAACTCCCATGCTCCAGCTTGAGGGGGGAGTGTTAGCGACAGAAGAAAGAAGCTAGATCGAAGAAGGAAACTGAATTCCTTTGGGATTCGATTTAGTATCTTTCCTAATTTGTTTATTTCTTGTTTTAGTAGAAATAGAAATATGGTAGGAATAGAAGTTTACTTATATACTTTATTCTCTTCCTATATAAAGGGGGTTAGATCTTTGTATTCACAGAACAATTCAATTACAGAATATTTTTCCTCTTATCAAATTCTACACTGGTCTTTAATTTATTTTAAAAAACACTTTTGTTTTATTATCTCTATTTCTTTGTTTTCTTTATCTTTTTGAGTTTGCGGTCTTAATCTTCTGTCTTTTCCCTTCAAATGTCAAAAATTCGAATGTGGCGGAAACAATACGCAGGAGAAATGTTAATGTAGCATTAGCTGTATTAAACATAGGGAAAAGTAAAATCTTTTTAAATCAAATGATCTTTTTTTTTGAAAAAATTGCGGACAAAGTTGGGCTATTTATTTTGACTACAAAAGTTAGTTTGCGAAGTCGTGTCAAAGGGAGTTCTTTATTTTATTTTTATTTTTTTTTATCAAGAACATTTTGTAGGCAACTACAAAAAATGGATGTTTTGCCATGATGATGACCATGTTACAAAGTTTGCCACGAATTTCAAAAAGATATATGGGTTGGTGTTGTTGGGAAATTTCCCTCCTACATGGAGGAAGTGTTCAATTTTAATTGGACAACACTTTATATCTCTTTTTTATATTTGGGCTTATTTTTGTGTGTAAAGCTTTAGCCCAAATATTTTATGGTGGCCCATATATAAATCCTTTATCCTTTATTATAATAAAGGAGACTCAATGCACCAGAGCTTGACATTTGGCATGTACATGTGGATCATTTTTACACAGTTGGCTTACACGTAATCTAAGTGAGAAAACTAAAGGAATTGAAATAGTTTATCCGGTGCTTTTAGACTTCCAAAGTAAATGCTTTCCTCTCCAATTCGGTGCTTTTGGTTTACACGATCTATGAAATATTTTATTCAGAGTTAATATCAATGTCTCCCATTCTCATCTCCAATTCATAGATCGAAGATCTAAACAGATGCGATATCGATGACGATGGCCTTCATCACCCGTCTCCTTCAGGTTAGCCTCCATCGCCATTTGTATTTAGGTTTCAATAATCTAAATCTGCATGATATCTTCCATCAAAAGGTGTTATGGCTATGGTGTTCAATCATTCCACCTAATTTTTTTATTCATTTTCTAGAATTAAAAACTTATCCAAATTAGATTCGATTTTTAATTGGACATCCTTGAATTTTTAAAAAAATTTATTTTCTATTTTTCTTCAAAATCGTTTTAAGGGGATAAAAATAATGGGTTTTTAGATTTAATTTCAAAAAATAAAAACTTGACCGAAATTTTTTTTCTCAGTATTTTACCTATTTTTTAAATTTAATTTCTATAAATATAAGCTTAAAAATATTAAAGATGATTTTTTTATGGTGCTTTCCTCATGAACGGAAATTCAATTCCTTTTTTCCTCAAAATTGCTTTAATTAACTAACAATATTGTCCAGAGTGTTTTTTTCTCAATATTCTACCTATTTTTTAAATTTAATTTCTTTAAATATAAGCTTACCAATATTAAAGACGTTTTTTTGTGCTTTCCTTATGAACGCAAATTCTCAACAAATTCAATTTCCTTTTTTCCCTCAAAATTACTTTAATTAACAAACAATATTGACTTTTTAAATTGCAACATTAATGAGTCTTTAATTGGTCATCCCAATTGGCTATATTTACCTTTTTTGGAATATTCACTTTACTTAAATAAAAACATAAGGAATCATTTATCCTTTATAAATATAAAGCAGAGTCTGAGCTGCAGGAACGCGACATTTGGCAAAGCTGAGGAGTGACATTTGGCAAAGTTGAGAAGTGACATGTGACAAATTGAGGTGGCAAGAGAATTAAATGAAAAAAATCACACGACCCATAAAGTAAGCTTTCCTTAGCCGTAAAAAACCTGGACCTTTCCTCATCTCGGATGAATGCACCATTCCTTTGCAATTAGAACATGAATGCACCATTCCTTTGCAATCAGAGATGCAAGAGAAAGAGAAAAGGAAAATTTCAACAAAAAAAAAGATAGAAAAGGTACGTACTTTAAATATTGTTTTATCTTAATATATTTAATTTTGTTTTACTGTTTTAAGGTAATTTGATACATAACATTTTTGAATTTTTTAATATAACAAAATCAAAGGGGATATTTTAGTGACCGTAATTTTTGTATTTAAAATTTATATGGTTGCTTTTTAATGAGTATTGAAAAATTTTCTTATCTTCATCTCTAAATCGTTAGTATAGATAAATTAATTTATGTTAAATAAATAAAGTTTAATACAAAATTTAAAATTAGATGTCAATTTTAGAAGGATTTAACAAATTCTCCATGTGAAAATGAACACTCCAAGAAAAAATAAAAATATGTGTACTTTTTTTTATTATAGTCATGTTATTTTATCAATTATAATCTGCATCCGTAAAAAAATTAAATGTTGTTCATAGGTTTCATAGAAATCATGGATAATTAAAATGTATAATTATTGATTTATCTAGGTATGCATATAGCTCACTGATTATTTTTTATCAATTTTATATTTACATCAATAGGAATAAAATGGTGTCTAACCTTGACTCTTTAATTTCATTTTTCTATATTTTTTATGAAAAAAATAGTTTATACATATTGAATATTTTAAACAATTGAATGGAAGAATATTAACAAAGTTGAGTAAAAATATATGCATATTTTAAAAAAATTTAAAAAAATTCAAAACTTTGCAATAAATTTGATATGAAATTGGTGAATATAAAAAAATGTGCATACATATTTTAAAATAAAATGATATGCATGCGAGGGAAAAATATTTAGACATTAATACAGAATGATCAATGTAAATAATTCAAAGTTAAAATATAAATTTTAAATTAGAAAATTTACTTATATCTAACACGTAATTCATTTATCAAAATGGCAACTAAGTTGTGTTTAACTGAAATAATTAATACTCCATATATATATTCATAGTTAGAGGAATTTACCTAAATAACACTAAAACATAATGACTTTCCCTAAATAGCAACATATGTTTTTTATTTCTTAATGTAGCACTTTTAGTCATTATTTAGATAAATAATGTTCACTGTCACAAGATATTATTTCTCCTTCTAGACATTATTAAGTTTTATTTAAGGGATAAAAAGTTTAAGGGGCTGTTTGGCAACTTTTGAATAGATAAGTGTTGAACCAGTAAGAGGTCTGAACCATTAAGTGCTGAACCAGTAAGAGGTCTGAACCATTAAGAGCTATTATATTGGTTAACTATTCAGAGTCAAATGTCTGATCAATTCAGATAAGAGGTCTTAACCATTCAGACTCTGTATAATACTTAATCATTCAGAGGCAAATATCTGAACCATTCAGACATCTGAACCATTAAGAGGTTGAAACAAACAGCCCCTAAGTCTTATATTGGGAAAAAATGACCTTTGTTTTAGTGCTATTTAGTTCAGATATGAAAAATGAAAAATTTGAAAAAATATATAGGGAAAAAGTTTGAAAAATGAAAAATTTGAAAAATGAAAAATGAAAATTTTGAAAAATGAAAAATTTTAAAAAGTTTAAGTCTTATATTGGGAAATGACTTATGTTTGAGAATATGAAAAATTATTCTTTTTTTTGAGGATAGAGCACTATTGGCACCAACTCTCGAAGTAGTTGAAATGATAAATGAATATGTTCTGTCCCTCATTCTTGGTGATGAAAAGGAGTACTTGAGTTCTGATTCTTCGTGCCAAGCAGAAGCAGATGCAAATGGTGATGTTGATTGGATAACAGTTGAGTTTTTGAATGAAATTAAATGTTTAGGAATGTCAAACCACAAAATAGTCTTGAAAGAAGGGATACCGATTATGCTATTGAGAAACATTGACCAAACATCTGAATTGTGTAATGGGACAAGATTAATCGTTCAAGAGCTGCGAAATAATGTTATCGGTGCAATTGTGGTTTCAGAAAATCGAGTCGGGGAAAAATTTAACATCCCTAGAAGGAATTTGGTAGCATCTAATCCAGGGGTATCCTTGAAGTTCCAAAGAAGACAATTCCCGATCGCCTCATGTTTTGCTATGACTATCAACAAAAGTCAAGGTCAAACATTGTCATTTGTGAGATTAGTTTTAACCAAGTTAGTGTTCACGCACGGTCAAATATATTTTGCTGTTTCATGAGTGACAACAAAGACAGGATTAAAAATATTAGTTTTAGATGACAATGGAAACTCTTGCAACCATACCAAAAATGTTGTATACCCTGAAGTCTTTCAGAAAATTTGGTATTAAAATAGACATTGTTAACTCTATATTCTTTTCCTCAAATATTATTTATATTACTTTGGTTTTTTTCATTTGTAGTATTAAAAATCATGTGAGCAATATATTTTCTTTATTCCGAAAAATAAATTTAATTGAAATAATTCAGAATTGACAACAATTTCTTTCGACCCCGTGCATGGCACGGGTCAGGATACTAGTATATATAAATGAGACTCCAAGCTGCAGGAACGCGACATTTGGCAGAATTATAGCATGACACGTGGCGAAGCTGACATGTCACATTCTTAGGAAACTAATGATGAGGTGGAACCTGAGTTGTCATTCACGCTTAATAAACCGGAAGAAAAAAAGGGAGTGTATTCGCAGACCTACGCTCCTCTTTATCGCAATCTTCGCTGATCCCCTTTTCTTCTTCAATCGCTCTTTCCTTCACCATCTCTTTCATTTTCTTTGGAATTTCGCACAAATTAGGAGAGAAATTAATCACCTTTCCTTCCCAAGATCGGAATTGCATTCATGGACACTCGGATCGACGATTAACAAAGACATAAATTTGGCGTAGGCATTTACTCTCAATTTGAAGACAAAATCCGGCGTATCATTGATTCCTTCCCAAAATTAGGTATGAATTTCCTTCATTTCATTAATCCACAAATTTTATTACTATTTTTTTATTGGCTTGATTTTCCCCGGCCCAAATTGTTAGGGTTTCTTTCTTGACATATATATTGCGTTGCTTTTAGTATCATAAAAGTAATTTGTTGATGAAAGTTGTAGAGGCGATTGAGCCCAATGTCGATCTTGCTGATTGTGTTGAACTTCAACAATAGGTACTCTAATTCTACTATTTTCTTAGACACCCTATTTGAGTTATTTTGCTCTGCTTTGCTTTTAATTTGTAGTTTGCTTTCTTTTTAATGTGTTTTCTATGTATTGGTTTGTCTTTGGATGAATTGTTAGTTTTTGGAACCACAGTTTATTAGCAACTTGCAACTTGACTAAATCATCTCATTAATTTTTTGCATGCATTTTTCATGTTATTTAATTTTAGATGATTTGAATAAATCATTCTGAGGTAACTGATAATGTAAGGTGGTTAAAAATTTCTATAAAACATTTTATTCTTATTATAATGTTCTATTTCAAAACAAAGTGAACACGTTTGTTATTTTAGTTTTATACATGCGCTTTATTGATTTTATACATAGTTCCCTTCAACGCTGAGAGATTTGATTTGGTAAAGAAGAAAGCGTCTTCCATTTCGTGACCAGGTACCCTTTTTTTCTTACAATTCTTTTTCAAGTGTATTAGTTATGCTCGGCAAGGTTTCTGTTTTTTGGTCAAGAGAACAAAGGTCATGTGGAGTATAGATTATCCACACCTAACACAAAGAGCATCAACAACTGGGTGAGGTTTAGGAATCTTCAATATCATCTCTACAAAAAGATACAAGTCATGAGACTTTGTTATTGTGATATGGGAAATCTATTCTAAGGAGACAAGAACAACTCTTTACTTATATTCAAACACCTATAGACGGAGCAATTGGAGTTGGCATATGGGCTGTTATTGTCCGCTTTCGAAGGGGGTTAGGCGTTTTCAATATAGCGTACTTTCTTCTCTATTTTTTTCTGAAATGGTTTGTTTTAGTTTTAGCCTTTGTAAGTAGTTCTGGGTTCTTATTTGCTGCTTGATTCTTTCCTTCACATAACATTTCTTGGCCTAGCCTTTAGTGTTCTTTTGCATGAGTCATTTGTAAAGATCAACTGTTGCAACAGATGGCTACATCTCATTCTATTGCAAGGATTGAGATGACTAGAGGCCTTTTTGATTGCAGAAGTGGTCATTTTGCTTGGTTGTGTTTAATGGCTTTTAATTATGGCTAGGACATAATCTAGCTAGGAGTTGCAGGGGATGCATAAAAGACAAAGATTGTGATGGAGAATACATAGTGTGTTACTACTATATGGAGATGAAGCATAGTGTGTGAATTGTGCTAAGAACAGCGCATCTATGGCATCCACTGTCAAATTTAAGACCAGCTTCAACCATTTCAAACCAGCAACATGGTTTCTCAAGAGTATATGTTTTAAGAAATACATTTATCAGTTAAAGGATGAAAAGTAATAATATTATCATCAGTGCTTGAGTATATACAGTAGTCATATGCTTATCTCTCTTTCTTTCTTTCTTTCTGCTTGTGCCTTTTTCTATTCTATAAATTGTCAATTGGTACAGTGTATGTAACCTGTCACTTTTGTCACACATGATACAAAGTTGTAGTTTGTTTTCCCATATTTTTGTGTGCCAAATTCTTCTCAATGGTTGGTAGTGTACATTATGCCCAACTTAAAATATTTTGATATAAATATCTAAAAATTCAAAGAATGTTATGCTTAATATATTTATTGAAAATTTTCAAAAAAAAATAATGACGCCAACTTTTTTAAATTTCTTATGAACTTGATCAAATATTTACAAACTTGACTATAATAAGATTATTCAAATTTTTTCAGCTTGATAACAACTTTTTTAAACCAAATTTTTGCTTTATATTGTTGTTTATGATTTTATTTAAATTGCTCATGCACTCAATATTGAATAATGAGAGAACTTTGTGTAAAATAATAGATTATTGATTAATAGATCATGAAAAAGTGTTTGGAATATCACATAGATGGTTGAGCGTTAAATTTTACACAGTTCATTTTTGACTAATTTCAAATAAAATTGTAATTGAATGTTTGTCCAATTGCGGTGCAAATGGTATTTGATATATAGATTTGTTTCTTACCCAACAAAATATACAAATAAAAAGATTTACATGTAAAATAGTTTGAACAATGCAAGATTAAAAATGTGTTGTAATGTTACAAAGAAAAAATTACAATAATCGGTCATAAGAAAATAGAGTAAATTTGACCATAATGAGGGTACTATTATACTCCGTAACACTCTAAAATTATTTAGACAAAAAAATCTTTGCATTTATCGTAAAATGACAAGAAATCTTCTAATTAATAAGTCATGGAATTCAAATTACAAATTTGGAAAAACAAAAATTGGAATTAAAAAACATTCCTTACAAAATCTCTCCTTAACATATTCTACCACCAAATATATTTTAATTTAGATCCCTTATTTCATTCAAGCTAAAAAAGGAGCCAACGTTTCCTCATAAAAAATGAATATAGCCTTGCGTCAATGAAATAAAAAAACATGTGTTAAATATAAAATCAATAACGCCAATTTTTAAAGAGAAATAATAACTATAAAGTTCATATACAAATACTATATTTGATTGTTTTTATATTTGCCTAAATATATTTATACTTCGTCGTACTCAAAGGAAATCTATATTCTCAAGCAATGACCTAGCTACATATCCTTGCATGACTATCAATAAGAGTCAAAGCTGAACATTGTCATTTGTTAGATTATTCTTGACCATATCAATATTTACTAAGAGTCAATTTTATATTGCAGTTTCACGAGTGAAAGCAAAGATATGATTGAAAGTGTTAATTTTAAATAACAACGGTAATCCTTACAACTTTACCAAAAATGTACTTTACCCTGAACTTTTCTAGAATATTTGGATTTAATTTTTATATTTTCATGTTCTTATTAGTTTATATAGAGATGAATTCAGGTTAGTAAATGTTTATGGTATACTCTCATTCACTAAAATTATATAGTTGGATATTATATTTTGCTTGATTTTTTAATCATTAACTAAAAATAAAAATATAACCGAGTAAAAATTATTCTTTTTTTAGGGCAATGCACTATTAACACCCACGCTTCAGTCTGTTGAATGATAAATGAATTTGTCTTATCCCTTATTCTGGATGGTGAAAATGAGTACTTAAGTTCTGATTCTTCATGCCAAACAAATTCAGATGTAGCTGCGCTGTTGAAGATGATTGGATAACAGTTGAGTTTTTTTAATGAAGTCAAATGTTCAGGGATCCCAAATGACAAAAAAGTTTTTAAAAAGGGGTACCGATTATGTTATTGAAGAACATTAACCAAACATATGGATTGTATAATGGTAAAAATTAATCATTCAAGAGCTGTGAAAGAACATTATAAGTGCAATTGAGGTTTCAAGAAATCTAAACGGGAAAAAGGTTTACATGCCCTGAATGAATTTGGTACCATCTGATTTAAGAGTACACCTGAAATTTTAGAGAAGACAATTCTAAATAGTTTTATGTTTAGCTATTACTATTAACAAAATTCAAGGTCAAACATTATCTTTTGCTATATAATTTCTCACCAATTCAGTAATTACTCATGGTCAACTTTATGTTACTACTTCACGAGTGAAAGGAAAGTCATAATTAAAAATATTGGTTCTAAAAGACAATGAAAACTCTTACAACCATACCAAAAATATTGTGGACCCTAAAGTTTTTCAAAAATTTTGGAATTAAAAATGATTTTTCGAGTACATTTTCAATTCTTCAAATATTATATATTCTACTTTGTCGTTGTTGTCCATTAATTAAAAATCACGTTAGAAATATATTTACTTGAATCAGGAATATATATTATGTTGAAAAAAATTTAGAGTCGACAAAAATTTCGTTTGCCCCCGTGCATGGCACGGGTTAGAACACTAGTAAATAAAAAAAAGAGAGAAAGGGATAAGGGGAGTAAAAAGCAAAAAGAAGAGGTGAAGGAGGCAGTAGCTATACGCAGGAAAAGGGGAGAAAAAGAAGGATTTCCGCCACACTGTGCAGCAGCCCCGTTTTCTGTTCGGATCGAAGGCCAAACGAAGTCCGATCGTGCTCAAATTTTAGTATGTTGTTCCTCACATACTCCTCTTCAAATCCAACGGTCAGATTCTCATTTTGATGCCCGGAAGGCTGTTTTCTAGCTGCATTTTCAGACCTGCGTTTTTGGGAGTTTTTACTCCATTTTATGTTGAATTGTTGATTGTTGTTGTTCCAAGGTTGCTCCTTGATGATTGTGTATGCCTCTAGTATTTACTAGAGAGGAGAACTTGTTGTACCCACTTGGTTCTTGGTGATTAGTGGAAGTTTGGGTGCCGTTGTTGAGCGGCCGTGGTTTTCTCCCCGATTTGGGGTTTCCACGTAAATCGTGTGTTCTTTATTTTATTTCCGTTGCTATCTATTTGTGGTGTTGGTTCTGATTTTTGGAGTATATTGTGCTTTGTTTTTCATCTCATTAATTTGGGGAAAAGATTTTATACGCTTCCGTTGTGTTTTGTTCCGTGCTTCCCCAACAAAGTGGTATCAGAGCTTGATTATTTTTTGGTTGGCTTCTTGTGTTGTTTATGATGGATGACAAAGTAATTGTTCAAGGAATGGTTAGTTTGGACTCTACGAATTATTCAATTTGGAAAATTCGTATTGAGGATTATTTATGCTCTAAAGA